ATTTCGTGGATACACTTTCACGAAGAACCTATTTCTGGGATACCGCAGTCCCATGTGGATCAGAAAATAGCCACAATGTAGTACAACTAAATCCTGATGAAAATAAATATTATCTCCTCACTCCATATCCCACATTAATGCAATCACTCAAAAAATTTTCACCAGAAAGCATTCGCGCTATTGCTCGAAACCCAAATATAGACTTACAATCAATAGGAATATATTCAAAATCAGATATTCAACATCACATTAGAACACAACAATTCCAAGAATTATTAACACAAATGGACACTATACAAAGGCAATCAATTGACCAAAATCCACGCAAACTTGCAGAAACCGCAGGATTTGCCGATATCTACACGCAAGACTATAGCGGATATTTTAAAGACATTAAAGATTATATATATCTAAACGGCGAAAAATACCGTCCCCAAGATATATCACCAATTAACATTTTTAGCTTTGTTACACTCAAAAATGAGATCCTCGATTTTCTAGGATGGCCCTACTACATCTTAGAAAAATTGACTATTTTATAGGCAATGTTTAACTTTATTGGATTTCTTTTCTCACTTTTAAAAGGAATCTACAACACATGTGCTATACACACACAAGTAAACAGACAAGCAAGTGTAGCACGCATACTCTTTGCAGGATTTTTTGGAATTTTTTCTACATCTATAAACAAAATTCTTTTAGATGCACAAATAAAAGAATATAATACAAAAATAGCAACACGACAAAACACATACGACGAAGAACATAACAATGTAGACATAACGCCAACGGCACCACAATTACCGCCCCTACCAAATAACCATCCACTATCCCTAGTCCCACGAAATTTTCGAAATTTAGCAACCACACATAATCCGAATTTTCGACTCACCACATCACAAAGTCCCATCCAACATATAATGACGCATCAGTCACAAGATGATAATACTTATGAACAAATTATTGAACAACCCCATACCACCGCTTTTCAGTCTCAAAATAATAATTTTTTTAGCCCACGATGAGCTGCCAACTTGGATCACTACACCGATCAAATTCCCACCCAACCAATCTTACCTCTCCAATCCCAATAATACCACTTTTTGCTTTTCCGCCACCCGATTTCCCATCTAGTAATGTAACATCAGGCATGAATTCCGACACTAACTCACATATCTCAGTTTTATACTCCATCTCACAACTCAATAACCCGAATATTGAAACCCCCGATGAATTTGCCGACTCAGAACCATCCCCATCCAATAATTTTCATAACTCTTCTAAATTTTCTCAACCCCCTTTTCAACCCATATTATCCAATAACCCTGACCCATTCACTTCCACACCCTCTTATGCTTCCCAAGTTACCCCAACCTACTCCTCATACCATTCTGACCAATCATCTCATTCTCCAGATACCCCCCGAATCTCCCCAGAGCTAGATAATTTTATTACCCTCCAACAACAACCCTACCACCTTAATACCCCAACCATAAACCAAATCTCCTCCACTATAAATTCATCCAACCCCCCTACCCCTACACCCTCTTCAAATTATACTGAATCATTAACACCGTCATCCACATCCACTATATCTTCACTCAACACTAATAGAGCTTATCGCACTTTTAAAAGAAAGTTCCCCAACCATCCTTTCCCAGCAAAACCAGGAACAGCCCGTGAATACATCAACCACCCCAAGCATACTAACACAAAAGAATTTTTAGCCATCACCTTACCCTCATTCCCACAATACACCTTAAACACCCCTCACGACACTAACGAAACACGCAACTTTGTAGATGAATACGTTTTAATGCCCACTCTCTCCTGGACCTCATACTATCATTTCACTAACCCTCTTTGCTTACCTTTATCCAGCACTCACATCGATATAGAACGAAATAAGGACATGCTATATCGACTAACTACACCACTAACCGCTAGACAATTTACTTACGTTGGATATAAAAAATCACTAAAAATACACACTGCACCTAGAGCTAATGAATATACACTAGAATACTACGATCACAACATCATCAGAGCTAACCAAGATCAATTCTTAGACGACGATCGCTTCGCTAATCCACAAATCACCGAGAAATTTTTCATCAAGACACCATATGTATTTACACTAAACATCTTCGACCGTAAATATGACCAAATTATTTCAGAAGCACTAACAGACACACAAGCATACGAAAGTTTTAAAGAACGCTTCCAAATATTTTCACTAACCTTTCATTTCCTTGCACCAAACGAAAGAGATTTGCACTGCTCACACGATATTATGTTGCGCACTAAACAAACCCACACATACAGTTATTATCGTTTCATCCAAAATCACTTTGACCTACACACACCCTCTAGACAACCACACCATCGTTTTCAATTCATTAATTCAAAATACACTTCGCCATTTTTCCTAAATTTCACATACTGTATTAAAGACACTAACCTCCATGGTATTCTTCGTAATTATGACCCCATAACCCAAATGTACATCTTCTGTCCCATCACCAAGACCTTCAACGCCGAAGAATCCCGACCCTTCCTTATCCCGCACGAGTTTGTACAACCTATAGAAATCCCAATATTAGAATTCATCCACAACACTAAATTTAATCACAAATTATATAACTTAATCCAAAACACACCTTATGAGTTTGCAGTTGGCACTGAAGAACTAACCACCATTAAGGCACTTCATTGCTTTGGCCACTACTTCAGACTAAAAACATCATTCGCATCTTAGCTAAACTACTAACAACTTCAGATCTAATTCACGACATTTTCCCCCACGGTTTTTTCCCCGATGACTAACAGGTAAGTATGAATTAAATGAATATTACTAACTAATTACAATATTAAAAACTCACCATTCTTTATCCATGTTTTCTTTAGATTTTTAGCCTTCATCCGACAATCACCTACAAAAACCACAAAAGACAAATAAAAATCGCAATTTTCATCAAACAATTTAAAAATTCTATTAATCTCTTACACTCATAAATTTATAAATCTAATACAAATGCAGTAAATTCATTTATAAAATTTTCCCCACAAGCAGTAAATCTAATTATGATGAAAATTTGTAACTTAAAATTCCCCCATACCTAGCAGTAACTTTCCAAATTCTATGTAGTAAATTAATAAAATGCAAATGCAGTACTAACCTTTTTATAATCTCATTCATTCGCACAGAAATTCTATCCACACTCGCACAGCTCGCCCACGAAGAATTGTTTAAAATAATGAATTTCAGTTTCAAGTTTTCACACTCAACAACTCTAACATAAAATAACATGTTTCAAACTTTCCTTTAACCCGGTTGGAAAGGAATCATATACTAAACAAAACTAACCAACGCAGCTTACTAAATACCACAAATCATAGAATAACAGCATGACTAAGAAAAGGAAACCAACGGTACCCAAACCGGATTAACCCAGTTTAAAACTGGATAATTTATTCTTTTGAAGACTATTATAAAGTCTCAGAAAGAAATAATAAAACACAAAAAAGTCGAAAGACAAACCCATACCACGAACAATTTGCTTTTTGGAAAAAGGACATAACCAACAAGACATAAGAAAGACCACAACAAACCCAACATAAATCGTTGTCACATAACAGGACACCTCACAAAAACCGCATGAAATCATACTCCCACTCCTGGCCTAACCCACCAGGAAGGACGTCCTGAGCATGCTCTATAGCCGGCCTAACCCACCGCGCTACATCCACGCTTTGTGACCACACTCCTATTTTTAATAAGAGCTACTCAAGGGTGGGTAACTCTTCAAAATAACCAAACTAAAACAAAAAGCTTTTGTGAAAACAACTAACTAAAATCATAATTAAAAAATATTAAACTAATAACAGTTTTATAAAATGTAAATTACATGATGCAATACATAGATCAGAATACAACACCAAGGACGAACATCGAAAGACAAAACGACCCCACCACACTCGAGAGAGAATGACCAACTACAATCAATATGCCGCTCACAATCACAACTCAAAGGATTTAGAGTACGACTTGACCTCGCAGAAAAGGACTTCATTGAACTAGACCAATGACCACCTCGATGATTCAAGTGTACGTACAGATCCGAGTAACCAGGCATCCCCTCCACGCACAATCTCCACGCCATTCCCAAGCTAGATCAGACACAAAAGAAGTTCTCCTCGAAGAACAGAAAAACCTGACATAGCCAACCATTCTGAAATCAGAATTGATTTTGTTGCAGAGACTCAGTCGTTGTCACAAGAAGAACACAACGTCTTATGTCCCTAACTCCAGCTTCCTGGAACTTCTTTAACAAAGAAGAAGCGGAAGAAAATTATGATGTTCGCCAAATACCAACGTCCATCATCCATCCTTCGAATTACAGAAGAACTGTTCTAAAAAACTCTGTAAAACCCGGATGGGTGGAACCTGATCTAAACTATATTTTATGATTGGATAAATTAAATGTTTTACCAATGTAAAGTATTTAATATTAACCAATCACGATCCATCTAACTAACAACCCACTTATTTGTAAGTGCTGAAGTTACTTGTAATTTCAGCACCAGAGAGATTTGAATTTAACTTAGAAATTAGTTGCACTCTCCCGAGTACTTCAGCAGCCGCAATAAACCAGTATACCCTAGATCTATTGAGCCTAGCAGAGACTAGTTAAACAACCTGAGACTAGATAGTATAAGAGTAAGATTAGGATCGGTATTAGACTAAGAAGTTGCACGAATCTATCCGGCCGAAAATAAGATAGCGTGACGAGCAGACGGTGTACCCTATCCGAAATTACTCTATGAGTTATACACTCCAGTCCTAACTCACTTCGTTCAATTAAACATAGCATCAACAAAAAGATATGTTTATGGGGTTCCAAGTTTTTAACACAGGAAATTAATTTCTTCAAAAACTATTACAATCATTATGATTTCTCTAATGTGCTGTGGGTATGGCGTGTGTGTGTGTTAATTAGGCCATATCCATCTGTGAGAGAACGAGTCACAACTTCCTGGAGAGCAAACTGCCCTCTCTCTACTACTGCTACGCCCACGTGCACCTCCTCAACAACGACATCGAAAACGTCAGTCTAGTCTTCTTCTTCTTCTTTTTCTTCTTCTTCTTCTTCTTTTTCTTCTTCTCTTCTTCTTTTTGTTCTTCTGACTCTCCTGGTTCTTATTTTTCGTCGTCGTCGTCTTCTTCTTCTTCTTCTTCTTCTTCTTTTTCTCTCCTTCTTCTTGTTTTTCTGATTCTCCTCGTTCTTGTTTTTCGTCTTCTTGTTCTTCTTCTTCTTCTTCTTCTTCTTCTCTCCTTCTTCTTGTTTTTCTGATTCTCCTCGTTCTTGTTTTTCGTCTTCTTGTTCTTCTTCTTCTTCTTCTTCTTCTTCTTTTTCTTCTTCTTTCTTTGATACTCTAGTCTCTTTTTCTAACAGGAGTAGGGTCTTTTAGGTTATACTCCCTACAAAATAAAAAATGTAAATGGAAATCTTTCCTGTAAAATTGGACCGATTTTACTTAAAAATGCAGGGCTGATATCCTGAGCGTTAAATCAAGCTAAAAATTGGCAAACAATGCTATCTTAACGACATTTAAAAATGAATTTGGCCTCCTTTTAATGAAATTTATGTTCAGAAATTTGGCGAACATTGAAGGTGCTTGAAGTACTTTTAGTTAACGTTTTTATTGTAAAATTTTTTTTTATTGACACTTGTTCGTTTTGACCCACTTTCTTGGTCTCTGAAACAACACAAATTTCTGAACAGTGAAAGATCAGAAAATTGTTTTTGAAATGAAAAAGTTAGCAAAACAAAAAAGATATTCAGTCAAAATTTCAACATGGGGTTGTCAAAAATTTATTGTTGCGCAAACGTTGCGCAAATTTATTCCTCAAAATTGTTGCGCAAATTTATTGTTGCGCAAAAAAGATATTCAGTCAAAATTTCAACATGGGGTTGTCAAAAATTTATTGTTGCGCAAATCATGTTCGGAAACTACCGCCTCGAGGTTTTGACCGAAATGGTCAAACCAGATGTCATTGTGCTACAAAAAATTCATAGTTGCGCAGGACGGAACAAAGTCGAACAAATCTAAGATATGAAATTTTGTCGAGTTTTTTGCATGCAAACTGTAAGCAAATGCATATTGCAAAAAAAATGTTTTTCAATATGCACTTACCCGGGTTGATGTTCATAGAAAAAAATGCCTATCATACCGTTTCATATATGAAGTCTATGGAAAAAATGGTAACCACAGAAAATTCATTAAAAATTTAAAAAAGTGTTGTAAGAATTTTGATTGAAAATTTCTGGTCTAATTGCCTCTTTTGAAGCTTTCTGGTCGTTAAAATAATGATTTGAAATTTTTGATAGAAAATGCTTGTCAAACAATTTTCATGTGTGAAAATTATAAGATAGTCATTTTGTCATAGAAAAATTAAATTTTTCAAAAATCACCAAAAAGGTGTCTGGGTAACTTTAAATAGATTTAAATAATTATATCTATAATAGAAGGCATTTTGACAATCATAAACAAAATTTTAATTTCGGTCAGAAAAATGCTTATCGTAAAGTTTTCATATATGAAAGTTGTATCATATGCATTTTTTTCATAAACAAAAGCAAAAATTTGAGGTAAAAATTTTTTAGTCCTTTTAAGCTTGCAATTTTGCTTTTGTGCAAAATATAAACTTTACAAAAAAAATTTGCATGCAAAATTTGTTTCTTTTTTGTGTTTATAACGGAGTCCAGGATGAGTTTTCGACCCAAAAATCCAAAAATCACTAGAAAGTGTTTTTTTAATTTAATAAGTTAAATTAAATTTGTAAAAAAAGCAGGCCTTTTTTTCTCAACCAACAAAACTTCAAGCTAAAATCTAACTAGCCATATTCTAAAATTTTTTTGTGCTATATAATTCTATGTGGAAATTTTAAAATTATCTTCTATGGCTAAAATCACCAAATGCAGTTTATCTGCATGGTAATTGTCAGTTACACTCTGGAATTTCTTATGACAAAAATACTTGGTTAGTGTTTCGGTTAAAACTCAAAATTTTGAAACAAAAACTTAATCTGTTCTCATTTATGGAAAAATGCTTATCATACAGTTTCATTTTATGGAAAAAATGCTTATTTTGCTATTTTCATACACTTACTTTTGCTCTATGAAATTGAATGAAAGCGTATGATAATCATTTTTTTCATATATGAAAATTGTATGATAGGCATTTTTGTCAACCCTAGGCTTACATACTTGCTGATCATATATAGGACTTCACGTAGTCCCAAAATCAAATTGAAGCTAAATTTTTAAAGCAACGTCAAGCTACAGTTACTAGAAAAACATTCATTTTGATACATTCATATCAAACAAATACAATTATGGTGAAAATAATATTAATCAAATAAAAAAGCACTTAAATTTCTAACAATGAATAGAAGTTGGCCGAAAAGACTAACAAAATTATTGCAGTTAGGGCAATTTTTTTCTACCATTTTTGTGGACTTAAGAAAACTTCCAATCTTTCAAATTCACTCGGGTCAAAACCTGTGAGCAAAATCGCTTTTCGATTTTTTTCGTGATTACAACTCACTTTGAAAACACAATAATCTGAATTGAATTTTTCAAAGTAGTTTACTTTTTTCCACAGAAAATCTTTAAGACTTCAAAGCTTTTCCAAAGTAAACGTAATGAATAAATGGAAAACTTTGAATAAATTATTGCAAATGTCAGAAATGCAGCAAGCAATCATTGTGATTGCAACTGAATACCTTCTTTACAAGCAACTAATATTTGGGCAAGATTTCAGAGGCAAATTATACAAGCAGGTGCTAGATAAATGAGACGACAGAACATTGCGACGATAAGACATTAAGACGACAAATGCGTGTTAGAACTTTGAAAGTTACCGTTATCGAATAACTCTCAGAAATACAAATGGAGAATTGAGTCTACCGTCGTCTTAAAGTTCCTTCAAAAACGGTTTTCGTCTTAACGGCTGTCGTCTTATTTGGAGAAACCCTTCAAACAGCACCTTATGAGAGTAATTTTTGGGGCAAATTTTTAAAATTACTTGGAAAAGTTTTTGTGTCGCCATCAAAAAAATGTCAGTCATACAATTTCCAGATACGGAAATTGTATGGTAAGCATTTTCTCCATATACTTGATGTATGGAATTGTATGATAAAGATTTTTGTTGTATGGAATTGTATGATAAGCATTTGCGGTGTATGCAGGTCAACCCGAAAAAAAAAGAACCTTATTTTGTTTGTTTACTAGTGACTCCATGAAAGTATTTTACTCATACTAAAAAGCTCAAAAAGAGAAACGAGTCTAGGATGCCCGCGAGGGATTAAACAAAAACCAAAAGCACAAATCTTTTTTCCCATTGAGTGAACAACTTCCCGGACCACTTCTAAAACAGCAAAAGGACGCTTTTTTTTACCGTAAATTCATCCGTCTTATTCTGTAGTGTACTACAATTTCTAGTCTTTCTAGCGTGTTTCTCCTTACTGCCCGCGAACACCTGTATCGTGAATTGATTAATATTATTTGGGTACACATACCTAGTTTACTGTGTTGACTTTCAGTCGTGGCTGTTTTACAATGTGTCGCACGAGATGGCCTCCAAAGTGGACAAGCACTTGGCCATTCTGTCCATGTACGAGCTGGGACGCATACTGACCCGGGTGAGGCTGGAGTCCAGGGCCCAGAAGTACTTCGAGGAGTGTCTCAAAATGGCACTCAACTATCTGGGTCAGTCAGTCCACAACTTGGGATCCGGTGTTGCTGGGGGGGGGGGGAAGGGGGGGGGGGGGGGGCTTATAGTATTAGTATATACTTCAAGTAAAAGGACCTAATGGCAGAAAGTTACATAAAATACATGAAAAAATTGAGAGATTGAGGTGGCAAATGGATTTTGGCAAATATTGACTGCTTGATCCATTTTTTTTTTGTAGAAAAATGACTAAAACAACTAAAAAAATTAAACTTTTTTTTTCAATTTTTTTTTTTCTGAAAACTTTTGAACTTTTTGACGTTTTTGATTCTCAAAATGAAGCTAAGAGTTCCAAAAACAAGTTAATTTGCTTAAAATTAAGTTTTAGGATCTTAAGCTATGCATAATTCAAAAATTCAGTTGTTGTAAGCCTGCTCGCTTGCTTTATTTGCAAAACAATTTTTCTCGACACCAGAGAAAAATTTTGGTAATTTTTGTATTTGGTTAAAATCACGGCTGAAAGGGCTTCATTATGATATATCACTCAATTCAGTCTGATCGTTATTTGTGGCACCTGATTTTGCGTGGAAAACAAAAAAAAAAGACTGAAACCCACCCGAATACAAAGCTCCTCCCCATTTTTCTAATGGTCACAACAATTAGATCTGGCTTGCAATAATTTTTCGATTCATTATTCAATTTAGTTTTTGCTTGGTGTGGTTAGTTGTACATACTAATTCCACACCAATGTACGTGTAGTATGTACTTAGTTTGAGAGGGAATTTCGACTATCAATACTCCAAGAAAAGCCAAAATATGACATCTTTAGCTTGTTTCATTACAAAGCAAAACAGTGAATTAATTAAAGATTCCGCACGAAGGCTGTCAAGGTTTTATCGTGGAATCCGCAACAAATCAAAGTTATAAAATCTTTTGCTGTTATGGGATCCAAAAACTAATTATTGAAACACAATGCAGCTCCAAATGGAATCTCAATGCTTTATCTTTTTGCTCGTTACTTTGGTTTTTTTGCTCATTTCGGATTCTGCAACACACTTTTAGGTGCCGAAACAAATTACGTTTATCTAGTAATTATTTGTAATTTTTTTGCTGAGCTGATTACTTTTAGAAAAACAAAAACTTTTGAATCCTTGTCTCCGTTTTCTACAGACATACGTGCACAAATCTCTTCAACAAACTTGTAATTTTAAAATTTACTCCGCGGATCTAAGTGAGTCTTAATTTTTGTGGCAAAGTAATGCTTTATAGAGTTCTGGTACAGTTTGAAAAGTCAAGTTGGTCGATCTTGAAAGTTTGGTTGACTCAATCATCTAATAGTTATTGATGTCGTGTTGATGTCCTGAACAAAAACTTATAAGAAACACTTCGCCTGAGTCCAAAATTTGTGAAACTATTTGACTATAAAAAATGAAGTTTGCAAAAGGGAAATGATATTTTTTGGGCGTGGGGTGGAAACTTTTGAAAAGAAGGAAAAAAGTTGCATAGTGGCCAATCTGGGATAAAAAACGAGCAGTATAAGGAAATTTGATGAATAGCAATCTAAAAGTTTCTATTTTTAAAGTACTATTGTTGATTTTTTCTACAATAAACCATTATAATAATTTTCTCTTTTCTGATAGACTTTTCTTTCTTCAAATAGCCTTGAAGTAGATTTTTTTTGTACAGAAAAGTACATTATAATCGATTTTTTCGGCAGAACAAAAAAAATCCATATAATCTCGATTTTTTCTGCAGAACGCATATGTCTTCAGAGACGGAATAAGAATGAAACAAAATTTTGTAGAAAACAAAATTTTTCATAAAATATTTTTGTGGACAAAACATAATTCAGTAAAAAGTGAAACTATTTAGTAAAATTATTGAAACATACTGAAAAAAATCACAACCATCCCCACTTTCATGCAAAAAAACACTCGGTGCACGTTAACTCCATCTTCCACGTTTACTCTTTTAACATACCCATCTTAGCCCGCCTTAACCCGTTTGCCAGATTCAACGATTTGCTTACAAAATGGTCGAACTTCTAATAAGATACAAATCAATCATCAAAATTTGCACAAAAGATAGCCGAAAATCTCATATGTGCTATTTGAATTCATAGTTTTGCAGGAAAAAATGAACAAAAGTGAAGCAACGAAAGTTGAGCTGACAATTTTCGGGTTTATAATCACTTATAATAGAGTGCAATCGACTATATTTAATATAATCAAATACAATGGATTTTATCGCCTAGCAAAAATTTTTATGTATTGATACTGACCATGATAATCCCATTTATTTTTTTTATCTATATAAGTCCAATGCGGGAAGAAACAGTGAAAAAATTCGTCTGATGAACCCTTCCAACATGAATTGAGGCAAGCAAATTGATTGAAAAAATGCAAGAATAAATGAGAATGACATTTCTTGGATTTGCTGTTTTTTTTGAAAACTTCAGCCAATCTTTTAGTTTTTTTTTCTATTCACCTCGTGAACAGTGGGAATACGTAGAGGTCAATAAAATTCACAGACAGTTGACAAGTATAGAGTTTTAGTTTTTGATACTTCAAATTGAAGCCAGGCACGAATTTAAGAACCAGATGTTTTTGGCATGTCCAGATGATTTCAAAAATGTTGATTTTAGGCACTGTGCACGTTCTAACTGGCATGATTTATGAGGCACTTGGCATACAGCTGAGAAAGCAGAACGACCTGACAAACACTATGATTCTGCTGGAAAAAGCGAGAGACATCTTCAAAATAGTTCTGGGACCAGAGCATTTTTTCACCAACCGCGTCAGCAAACAATTGAGTGATGCTGTCAACAAGAGGAAGAAAAGCACCATCTATATTGACTAAAATTACGCAATCTATTTTAAAAAGGAGAAACTGCATTGCTGCATTGGGTTTAATTAACAATTTTAATGAAAACTTCCTTGTTCTAAGCTTCTTATCAAGGTGTATTTTTTACCTTCGTCATTTCGTGAATCATTCTTGAAAAAAATTGATAGATATAAAAATAATAATAAGATTAAAATACAAATGAATAGTTCATACTTACTAGGGTTGAGGTCCGCGACTTATGTCCGGACTTTCGCGACCAAATTTTGCAGATACACATGTTTTCGGACTCGAAAGTGCGCCCTGATGGTCTCGAAGAGCGCCACGCTTCTTTTTGGTTTGGTCACCAAAGTGAAGTTTGGTTACCAAACAGATCCGTCGCGGCTTTCGAAACCGAAGCGGAGAAGGCGGGGCTAAATATTCGCGACCAATATTCGGAATTTCAGCTATATTATGTTACCTCCTGCTAATTCCGTTTGAGTTTTAGCTACCTGTTTGTGTCAAGTCGAAGCCTTGTGTGTTGCGTCTCATTTTCAACCTAATTATGATGAAATAACGATGTGGCGGAGTATTCTTGTGGAAATTAATTGAATATGGCACGTTTCGCTTCGAAATAGTTAGCTCTTTTCTTTTTTGAGGCTTATTTTGCACTGTATGTTCTGTACGACTCATTACATGTGAACATTTGGGCCAGGTTATACTTGCTTTCGACCATACCGCCACTAAATTTTTGACGATCGCGACCGATATACGCTATTTGCAGAATCAGTCCGCGCTTGATAATTTATTGACAATCGCGACCGGGATTCGCCATTTCCAGAATCATTCTGCACTTGTTAAGTTTCTGACAATCGCGATCGAGATACGCTATTTGCAGAATCAGTTAGTGTTTGACAATTTTTGACGATCTCAAACGACATACGCTATTTGCAGAATCGTTCCGCGCTTGTTAATTTTCTGACAATCGCGACCGAGATGCGCTATTTGCAGAATAATTCGCGCTTAATAATTTATTGACGTTCGCGACCGGCATTCGCCATTTCCAGAAGCATTCTGCGCTTGTTAATTTTTTGACAATTGTGACAGAAATAAGCTTTTTGCAGAGTCATTCAGCTCTTGTTTATTTTTTGATCATCGCGACCGAGATACGCCATTTCCAGAATCATTCCGCGCTTGTTAATGTTTTGACGATCGCGACCGAGATACGCTATGTGCAGAATCCTTCGACGCTTGTTATTTTTGACAATCGCATCCGAGATACGCTATTTGCAGAAACCTTCCACGTTTTTTTTTGACAATCGCAACCGAGATACCCCATTTCAAAAACCGTTCCGCGATAGATGAGTTTTCGACAATCGCTTCCGAGATACGCTATTTGCAGAATCATTCGGCGCTGGTTAATTTGTTGAAAATCACAACCGCGACACGCTATTTGCAGAATCATTGCGCGCTTGTAAATTTTTGACAATCGTGACCGAGGTTCGCCATTTCCAGTATCAATCCGCGCTTGTTAATTTTTGACAAACGCGACGTAGGTATGCTATTCGCACAATCATTTGGCGCTTTTTAATTTTTTGATGATCGCGACCGAGGTACGCCATTTGCAGAATCAATCGGCGCTTGTTGTTTTTTGATAATCGCAACCGAGATACCCCAATTCAAAAACCTCTGCGCGATTGTTGAATTTTTGACAATCGCTTCCGAGATACGCTATTCCCAGAATCATTCGGCGCCTGTTAATTTGTTGACAACCGCGACCGCGACACGCTATTTGCAGATTCATTCGGCGCTTGCTACTTTTCTGACAATCGCGAACGAGATACGCTATTTGCAGAATCAGTCCGCGCTTGATAAATTATTGATGATCGCTCCGGGATTCGCCATTTCCAGAATCATTCTGCGCTTGTTAATTTTGTGACAATCCCGACCGAGAATCGCCATTTCCAGAATCAATCCGCACTTGTTAGTTTTTTGACGATCGCGACCGAGAAACACGGTTTGCAGAATCCTTCGGCGCTCGTTATTTTTTGACAATCGCAACCGAGATACGCTATTTGCAGAAAAATTCCTAGTTTTTTTTGACGATCGCGACCGAGAAACACGGTTTGCAGAATCATTCGTGGCTGGTTAATTTATTGACAATTGCGACCGTGACACGCTATTTGCAGAATCATTGCGCGCTTGTTAAATTTTGTCAATCGTGACCGAGGTTCGCCATTTCCAGTATCAATCCGCGCTTGGTAATTTTTTGACGAACGCGACCTAAATATGCTATTTGCAGAATCATTTGGCGCTTTTTTATTTTTTGACAATCGCGACCGGGATACGCCAATTCCAGAATCAATCCGTGTTTGTTACTTTTTGACACTCTCAACCGAGATACGCTGTTTGCCAAAAAGTTCCGCGTTTTTTGACAATCGCAACCGGAATACGTCAATTCCAGAGTCGTTCCGCGCTGTTTAATTTTTTGGCGACAGCGAGATACGCTATTTGCAGAATCATTCATCGCTTGTTATTTTTTTGACAATCGCGACCGAGATTTGCCATTTCCAGAACTTTGCGCGCTTGTTAATTTTTTGACGATCGCGACCAAGACACGTCATTTGCAGAATCATTCGGCGCTTGTTAGTTTTTTGACGATCGCAACCGAGATACTCTTTTTGCAGAATCATTCAGCGCTTAATATTTTTTTGACAATCGCGACCGAGATTCGCCATTTTCAGAACTATTCCGCGCTTGTTATTTTTTTGACGATCGCGACCAAGATACGCCATTTGCATAATCAACCGGCGCTTGCTAATTTTTTGATGATAGCGACCGAGATACGCTATTTGTAGAATCATTCTGCGCTTGCTACTTTTTTGAAAGCCACGACGGAGATTCGCCATTCCCAGATTCATTCCACAACTGTTAATTTTTTAATGATTGCAACCAAAACACGCTATTGGCAGAATCATTCAGCGCTTGTCTATTTCTTGACAATCGCGACAGAGATACGCTATTTCCAGAAACATTCCGTATTCGTTGATTTTTGACAATGGCGATCGACATACGCTGTTGACAGATTCAATTGGCGCTTAATGTTTTGTTGAAAATCGCAATGATGTTACGCTAATTGCAGAATCGTTATGTTCTTGTTAATATTTGACAATTGAGACCGATATTCGCCGATTCCAGAATCATATTGCGCTTTTCAATTTTTTGACAATCGCGACCGCGATACTTCAATTGCAGAATCAATCCGCGCCTGTTAGTTTCTGACAATTGCGATCGAAATACGCTAATAGCAGAATCATTCAGCACTTGTTTTGTTGACGACTGCGAACGAGATATGCCATTTCCAGAATCATTCCGCGCTTATTAAACTATTGTTGATTGCGACCGCGATATGCTTTTTACAGAATCAATCGGCGCTTTTTATTTTTTGAAAATTGCAACCGAGATCCGCTATTTTCAGAATCATTCCGCGTTAGTTCTTTTTTGACAATTGCAACCAAGATACGCTATTTGCAAAAAAAATTCCATGTTTTGTTTTGACAATCCCAACCGAGATACCCCATTTCAAAAACCGTTCCGCGATAGATGAGTTTTTGACAATAGCTGCCGAGATACGCTATTTGCAGAATCATTCGGCGCTGGTTAGTTTGTTGACAATCGCAACCGTGAGAGGCTATTTGCAGAATCATTGCGCGCTTGTTAATTTATGACAATTGTGACCGAGGTTCGCCATTTCGAGTATAAACCCGCGCTTGTTAATTTTTTGACGAACGCGACCTTGATATGTTATTTGCAGAATCATTTGGCGCTTCTTTATTTTTTGACAATCACAACCGGGATACGCCTATTCCATAATCAATCCGTGTTTGTTAATTCTTGACACTCGCAACCGAAATACGCTATTTGCAGAAAAATTCAGCGTCTTTTGGACAATCGCAACCAAAATACGTCAATTCCAGAGTCGTTTTGTGCAGTTTAACTTTTGACGATCGCGAGACACACTATTTGCAGAATCAATCGGCGCTTGCTAATTTTTTAATGATAGCGACCGAGATACTCTTTTTGCAGAATCATTATGCGCTTTTTAAATTTTTGACAATCGCGACCGAGATTCGCCATTTTCAGAACGATTCCGCGCTTGTTTGTTAATTTTTGACGATCGCATAATCAATCGGCGCTTGTTATTTTTTGACACTCGCAACCGAGAGACGCTATTTGCAGAAAAATACAGCGGTTTTTTGGACAATCGCAACCAGAATACGTCATTTCCAGAGTCGTTCCGCGCTGTTTAACTTTGACGATCGCGATACACACTATTTGCAGAATCAATCGGCGCTTGCTAATTATTTGATGATAGCGACCGAGAAACGCTATTTGCAGAATCAATCGGCGCTTGTTTTTTTGACAATCACAACCGAGAGACGCTATTTTTAGAATCTTTCCGCGTTAGTTTTTTTTTGACAGTCGCAACCGAGATACCCCATTTTAAAAATTGTTCCCCTATTGTTGAATTTTTGACGGTCGGCTCGAGATACGCTATTTTCAGAATCATTCGTTGCTGGTTGATTTTTTGACAATCGCGACAGATACGCTATTTCCAGAATCATTCCGCATTCGTTGATTTTTGACATTCGCGACTGACATACGCTGTTTGCAGAATCAATCGGCGCTTGTTTTTTTAACAATGGCAACCGAGATACGCTATTTCTAGAATCCTTCCGCGTTTTTCTTGACATTCGCAACCGAGATACCCCATTTCAAAAATTGTTCCAGGATTGTTGAATTGTTGACGATCGGCCCGAGTTACGCTGTTTGCAGAATCATTCGGCGCTTGTTGATTTGTTGAAAATCGCATAGGCGTTACGCTAATTGCAGAATTGTTCGGTGCTTTTCAAAATTTGACAATTGCGACCGATATTCGCCATTTCCAGATTCAATATGCGCTTGTAAAATTTTCGGCAAACGCGACCTAGATATGCTATTCGCAGAATCATATTGCGCTTTTTAATTTTTTGACAATCGCGACCGTGATACTCCAATTGTAGAATCAAACCGCGCCTGTTA